CCGGCGGATCGCTGAACGCCTGATACATTGCCTCGGACCTTGCATCCGATCGTTGTTGGCGCTCGGTCATCATATGCAAAGTGTTGTCTATCTTCAAGATATGCGCCTCAACCTGGGCCTGCCATTGCTTAGTACCCATCTGTGCACGTTCAAGAAGATCCACTCTGCCCTGAAGGTCACTTTTAACCGATTCGATCTGCTCATGCATTTCATCACGGCTTCGAATCAGCGCTTGGATCACGCGATGCTGTGCGTCCACTGCACCGCTCATGGTTTGCAATTCATCAAGTACCCTCTGATACCCACTATGAACATTTTCAACGGCGGACCCCGAAAGTCCAGTGCGGTACTGGAGTCGATCATGCAGCTCCTGCACAGCGGCACTCAAGTCAGACAGTGCTGCCTGATCAAAAGCAGTTGCTTGCTGGAAGCTACGCAAAACCTCAAGTGGAATCTCGACCTGCATCCTCTGAAGAGTTTGCACATTCATGGTGGCATGATAAGTACCTGGCGAACTGCTATTCTCTTGGGTAGCTTGGGCAGTCATAAACTGTTGTTGATATGGGCTTCCATGATGGCTCCCATCGGTGACTACAGAATAATGCGTAGGAACCGGCGATAGCTCCATCGGAATCTGAAGTCCCTGAGCTCTGAGTCGTGACCACTGTCACCGACTTGACGTTTGAGCCTTTTAGGGTACGATAAGGACCTCCTAAACCGGGATCGGGAAAACACTAGGGAAACCAAACGACCTAAAAATCACTACAACCAAAATCTCTGCCAGTGCACCCGCGCACTGAAGTAACTCTGCAATGTCGTGATCTTAGTCCGTCGCACTGAAGGAACTCTGCAATGTCGTGATCTCACTCGACTGCAATTGTTCGCTGCGCGTAGGCTTCTAAGAGGAGTTTAGGGGTTCTCGAAGGTGTTTACAAGAGCACTGCACAAGCCGCGCCACTCGCACCGACGGGACACCCTGAACAAACCCTCAACAAACAAAAACCCCTCACTCGGTCGACAGTCTTTTGTCGCACCTTGAGCCATCGCAGTTTCGTCGTGTAAATGGCTTCTCCGACATGCTTGGCACCTTTGAGACAAGCATATGTCATCTGCAAAAACATGCATGCGAACATGTGAAACCTACATGTACAAGCCTCTACACTTCATCTAGTTATGGCTGCCCCGTAGCCATTCCGCTTTCTTTTCTCGAGGTCTTGCACTTCGTTCTTGTTTCGGGCCAGTGCCCTTCACCTACTCCTACAGCCACTCTTCTAACGCACAGCACAAACACGTACGTGTGAATCATGTGATGTGCTTCTGTACTGAGTAGCATAAATAGAAACAGTTGGTTCGCAGAAGAAGTTAATTAAATGCTTCAAACACGCAGCTCTGCATCAAGAGCCTGGATAAAATATCATGGGCATCAGGGGGTTCCAAAAACAGTTCTGAAGCAGGTTTAGTAAACCCCGGGTTGATTTTGAGCAGCTGAGCGCGGAAGTGCACGTGTGCAAAAGGCGCATCAGTTGAGCGATCCCGTGAGATAGCGCTCTGCAGAGTGACATGGTTTTCCAGCTCTTGCCGTGGCTTCTCACAGAAGTGTTCACAAGAGCACGACTGTGATCCCAGCAACAGACGGCGACTGTTGCTAACCCTCGCTCCTATTCTCCCCGTAGTCTGCCACTGCCTAAGAATACACAAAGATCTTTGTCGCGCAGTTGAGACTCTCGGAATGACGGGAGAATGCTCGGACTTGGGACCGAGCTGGCTCGGTTCGGGCGTAGAAGGTAAGATGTCGAGTACCGGTACCAACCAGATTACAGGTCTATGTGCCATCCCGCAGGTGGTGTGACGAGATCTAGTCCATGGCCTCCAGGTCAAAATGAGGCTTCGAAAACTCGGGCCTGGTGCAGACTTCCTCCAGACTTGTTGAGAGCCCCATCTTATTGGTAGCAGACCTTGGCCTGCGTAGGTGGGAAGGCTGATGCGGGGTTCTTTGTCGGAAGTGGAATCTGCACCAAGCACATCTTGGGTCTGCCAGTCTGAAGGCCAGGCGTGTGCCTGGGATGTCCTGCAGAAAGGTGTGAGCAGGATCTCTGCAGATGCATTAGCCAGCGGGAGCGAGCCTGTGCCCAGTGTGTTTGGCAGACCTGGGAAGGACCGGAAGGACCAGACAGAGGACTGCACTGGGTCGCTGGAAGACACTGAGTGGTCGGCATCTTGGAGTCCCGAGGCTGGGTCTAGCTGCAGCTGCTCTGTGGAGGCGGGAGCAAACGGCACAGGTTTCGTGGGGCTGCACTTGATAGGCGCCCGGCCATCCCTGCAGACAGTACTGGCCGAGAGAATGGCTGGCTGCGAGAACTGTGGTCGTGGCAGACTGCAGAGTTGGGCCTCGCAGCAAACACTGGCGGTCAAGTGTCCGGTGACTGGTGGCACCACATTCTCGGAGTCTTTCAGGCTCGGCCCGCATAGAGGTGGTGTTTCCAGTAGCCCTCCGGCTCAGCAGGTCAGCCTGCGAGAATCCTGGCATGATGTTTGGCATCCGACATGTCAGCAGGGTACTTCCTGAGACAAGCAGACAGCAAGAAGAGCTCTCAGCATGCATATCACCGCATCCGGTTGGACGTCGTGCCTGCCGGTCTGACCTCCAGTGTCTTGGCTCACAGAGCTGATACTGCAGTATAGACTCCGAGAGGGCCCCACCTGCCAGATCAGAGCCAGCCTCTTCTGGGGGCCGGTCGGACCTGAGGACAGCGAGACTAGAAGTGTCTGCACTGGAACAGGATTGATAGGCTGGAGTAGCTGTAAGCATGCACTGGGCACTCATGTATGCACTGCTGTCCGCGGACTGTGCAGGTTCCGAAGCAGTCAGAGTCATCGGCTTTGCCTGGGCTCTGTTGCGCCTAGAGATCTGCAGCAGCTTGCCCATCATTCGGGCCTTTGCCGTAGCTGTACGAGCCGGAGGTGGGGCTGGTCGTAGCTTGCTGGATGTCGGCGGAGACCAGTCATCTTCATCCCCCACGTCAAACCAAATAGATCGTTTCGGCTTGAAGACCTCTTTTGTCTGTCGAGATCGCTTGGCAGCTGAGGCAGTAGTCGACGTGGTACGTTTGGTACTCTGCCGTGGAGGGGCAGTAGTCGTGAGCTCACCATCAGCGGTGTCAGGCTGGGTGGTTGAAGACTCTGTTCGCCGTGAGGCTGCCACTGCTCCAGCAGACTTCAAAAGAAGGTTCCCCGACTGGATCTGCCAGGCCGCCTCATATGGATCTGCCGAGTCATCACCAGGAGGTGGCTTGCCAGGGCCTGTGCTCGATACTCTGGCAGAGGTCTTTTGTATAGAAGATAGATCTCGTCCAGCTTGACGTCCTCGGGCTTTGGGGGTAGGTTTGAGTCGGCCTTTGTTGTCCACTTGAGGTCTCGCATCTCGTCCAGTAGGCGACGGGCTTGGAGTGCGAGGTGGTGGCACATCCGCAGAAACTTGGCTGGTTTGCGCCTCGGTAGGGCTCGCCGACTCTGTCGAAACCTTCATCTTCTCAGCAGGCAGAGGAGTGGTAGGCATATCCTGTGCAGACTCCACCGGTAGTTGGAGGGGTGCGGTCGGCTTTCGCCATGTGACTTCCCGGGACTGCTCGTTGTAGTATGTAGTGCCTCCAGTCTCTGGGTCAAGGTGTGCTGACCATGGCCTGGGAAGAGTAACTCGCAGTGGCGGATTTACCCAGTCTCCCGCCTTGTCCCGCTTAGGTGCGGGCGGAGGTACGAGATACTTCATCGGAGACCAACCCAAGAGAAATCTTGCGCTGAAGCGGGTCAATGGTGGAGGGGCATACCTCCAGCGCATGCTTGGATGCATGCCGTCGTCCATTGAAGCGCGGGTGGCTTCCTGCCCCAATCGTGGAGCAAGATTCTCTCGATCTATCGTGTAGATACGGGTCTGTTCCGATCTCGGCCCTTGCAGCATCCTCAGGTTCCGACTCGACTCGTGTTTGTGTCGCAACTCTCGGTGGGGAGTACGATCGCACGTCGGCCTATGAGGTGTTGCCTATGGCCACCGACCACCTCAACTTCTGTGCCAACCGTAAGCGGCTTCAGAGCAGCCTGCCAGTTGTGCCCTGAGGCTGACTCCGCATCCGCCAGGGCCTCTTCATGAAGGCTTCCGGTGTCAGCAGGCTGTCCAGCAGAGGAAGTAGCTCCGTCCGGAGATTGCAATGCCATGGCCACAAAAGGAGTTCGGGAGGAGTTGCCGGTCACAAGGTGGCCTATCCTAGGTGGATGATCTCCAGCTGGGTGCTTATTCCCGGGGTAGTCGGGTTGCAAGTCGAGCCCATAAGTAGTGGCTGGGCCGCCTGAAAGGTGAGGGGCCCTGGGTGGCAGCCTGACATGAGCTAGTTGTCGTCGCTGTGGTGGCAACGGCTGTAGATGGCATAGAAAGCTCGGGGCAGGATGCAATGGGAGGGCCAGGACACATGCAAACCAGCAGGCAGAGGCATCTTGTGTAGTGCCAGACCGCAGACAGACTGTTGGCACTGCAGCTGAGGTGTGGGCAGAAGGCCAGGGCGTGCTGGACAGGTGCGAGAGGTCGAAGGTGCCAGCCAATCGCCGGGTCCTGTCAATGTGCAGAGTCCACAGACACGCTTGAGGCAGGGCACTATGTCCTTGTAGACGGGCCAAAGGCAATACCATGGAATGGACCTGAGCAGAGGGGCAAGGCCAGTGACAGCACAGAGGTGGTGTCAATGCACTTGAGTAGTCATGTCTGGGCCATTTTGGTCTGTTCGCGGAAGAGTACCTCGCTTCCCATGCCTGATCCACGTTCCAGGCCGTAGCACCGGAGATGGTAGGACTGCTACTGTGCCAGCTATCAGTTGCAGCTTCAAGGTTGTAGTGCTGAGTCCTTTGGCGCTGCAGAGATGGCGGCTCAGACGAGGAATGCATCCATGAAGTCTCATTGTGGCTGAGCTGGTCGTATGGAGATCGTAATGTGCCAACCTGCTGCTTGAGTGGTGATGGTGGCAGGAAAAGCCTTGGCCTGTACCTGCGAAGGTGTTCGGGCCATTCCAGCTGTGCCTGTGGTGCCCAGTGTCGAAGGCGGTCCTGGTCTCGGCGAAGTAGCTGTAGTCGGAGTGCTGGCTGGGAGTCCAGGAGGTGCCGTTGCCGCATATGCTTGTGCCGGCGTAGTAGGAAAGGGGGTAGGTAGCACCCCGATCGTGGGTGCCACAGCACTGCCCAGCACAGTCGGTGTCAGTGGCACCGGCGAAGGTGGAGGTGGTCCAGCTGGCTTGCACGGCGCCAGTCCCACACTTCCCCTTGGTGGCCTATTGACGGGTGTCGGGGGCGGAGGTCCCGCCGGAGCACTCGAAGTTGAGGCAGGAGGTGCGGTGGCCTCCTCTCCTGAGCTCGGGGGACTCGGCGGGCTGTCGGATGATGAAGTCTCCGGTGCTGCTTTGGCTTTGGCTTTTGGCCTTCCTGATCGCGACCTCGATGGATTGCCACGCCGTGCTTCCTTGGGTGACATCCCGTACTGTCTAGGCTATACGGGAGTAAGGCTTGAGCACAGAGGGCAGCGCTTGAAAGTGGCTGCGCTTGAGTGCACCCCTCAGCTTGCCAGAACAGTGAAAGAGACATCTGGGACTGAGAGCCGGGCCAATCGCACAGACCGGGACACTGCAGCACAGGATTTGAGCCCTGCTGCCGAGGTGGGGCAGAGAAGGCTAGGCTAGCGAGAAACACAGCCATCATGCAGCCTACAGCCATGTTGAGGTTGAGGGTCTTGAACCTTCTAGTGCGCCCCTGACCGTTATGGGTGGTTGGGCCCCACGTTTTCAACGGACTCAACATCTCTACGCTGTGGAGCCAAGGAGCTTAGTAGCAGTAGCAGTAGCAGTAGTAGTAGTAGTAGTAGCAGTAGTAGTAAGCGTAGTGGTAGTAGTAGTAGTAGTAGTAGTAGTAGTAGTAGTAGTAGTCGTACTAGGAGTAGTAGCAGCAGTAGTAGTAGTAGTAGTAGTAGTAGTAGCAGCAGCAGTAGTAGTAGTAGTAGTAGTAGTAGTAGTAGTATTACGACTAGTAGTAGCAGTACTACTACTAGTAGTCGTAGTCGTGGTGGTAGTGGTCGTAATGGTAGTGGTACTAGTCCTGGTAGTGCTGGTGCTAGTGGTAGTGCTAGTGCTAGTGGTAGTGGTAGTGGTAGCAGTCGTCGTCGTCGTAGTCGTAGTAGTAGTCGTCGTCGTCGTAGACGCAGCAGTAGTAGTAGTAGCAGCAGTAGTAGCAGTGTAGCAGCAGCAGGAGTAGGAGCAGGACCAGGAGTAGGACGAGTAGGAGGAGTTGGAGTACAAGGAGTAAGAGTAGTAGGAGGAGCAGGAGTAGCAGGAAGGAGTGGTAGGAAGAAGTAGTAAGAGAAGTAGTAGCAGTAGCAAAAGTAGTAGGAATAGCAAAAGTAGTCGGAGTAGCAGTGGAGTAATAGGAGTAGAAGAAGGAGTAGAAGGGGGAATAGAAGGAGTAGTAGTGGTGGTAGTAGTAGTAGCAGCAGCAGCACTAGCAGTAGCAGCATTATTAGTATACATTACTAGTAGTAAGTCGTGGTCGTTGCCTTTTGCGACATCGCCGCCGGCATTGGCAGAGCAAACCACATTCGATTCGTCGGGTGCACCATGCTTGTCAAGCTACGCCAAAGCAAAGTTGCCCGCGCCCAGATACAGTCTGCCAGTGGATATGTGGAGCATCGGTTGTGTTATCGCAGAGGCCAACCTGGTTGCAGTATGTGGGATTCTTTGTCAAGGATGTTTGGTGGAGGTGTTGGGTTGCGAGGCGCATGAAAAGGTCTATCACCAAGTCCTTCAGCAACGCGTTGGAGAGTTCAGGGTTGTTGCTTTGCTGCCGGTCAGCAGTCTGCAAGTGCTGCAGAAATTCCAGCAGCTACTTCGTTCGAAATACTCATTTTTGCTCATCGCAACATATGATGAGATTTCCTTGGAAGCTTGCCATGTGCGGTCAGCTGTGATTGTATACTATGATCTGAAGTGGCGTGGGGTTCCTGAAAAAAGTTTGATGCAGATGGCGACGGGAAGACCCCTCTTTGCTGGTGACTCCGATGCTCGGCTTTGTTTGTACGGGTTGCTGTCAACATCTTGATCCGCATTCTGCCGCCATACCAGATGTTTATCATATTGTCAAGCCCTTGAGCGGGATCCAAACATTGACAATCCTCGACATGTTGCTTGGACAGTGAGAAATGGACCTTTGAGCAGCAGCTTTCATGTAGAGGCGGGTTCGTGTGCTGCCAGCTGAGAAAAGCGATAGAGTTCGGGGCAGAACCTCAACACACGTCCTCCATCGGTAAAACTGTGAAAGTTTCTCAATTTCAAAAGTGCCATCGAATCTTTTCTCAACACCTGAAAAGGATAAGGATGCATCGCCCTCGCATATCGCATTCTGCAAGTCCAGCCTGGAAGACTTGACACCAAAGCTTCGGAAGCCAAACTTTGCGCGTAAGATGAAGATGATTATTTTAAGTTTGCAATTCCCTGTCAAGCTGACGCGAGGAGATTGACACGATATTCCGGATCTTTCAGAAGCTTGGCACACCAACGGAGGAGTTTATTGCGGGGTCACCATCATCCGACAAGAAATGCTGCATGAGGCGAGTTGTCGTGGGATCCACAAGTCGATGGGTTGACTTGTAGGACTTGTTTGGTTTACGTGTGGAAACAGGGGCTTGAAGTCTTGAAGTCTAGCCTCCGTGTTCTACAGCTTCGGCACAGCGGCACAGCACCGGAAAGCGGTTGTCAAGCCCCGACTTCGAGCACCACTCGTGCTCACCTCTGCACGAATCTCCGTCTCGAAAATCAAGCAGCATCTGCGAACCCAGAGAAGCACAGAAAGGTGAAGCCGCACCGCATGATTTAGGAGATTGGAGGCGATGATAGCAAGATTGAGGTCTGACCTCTAGACTCTACAAGCTTTACCTTGCCGACCGAAGCAAGACAAGCACATCAGCCGTTGCAGGATATCTGGCCTGGCCTCACAAAGCTGCCAGACTTCAAGCCACCCGGCCAGTTATTTGAGTCGGATCTCTTATGCATAGACCCGCTACTGTAAGAGGGGGTACCACCCCTGAGCGAAGACGAGCTGAGGCCAAGCTTTCCGCGTTGGCCAGCCCAGCCCTGGTCCTCGATCCGAAACACCGCTGCACAGGCACTGAGATCCTTTGAAGACTCTACTGGTAGTTGCCAGTCCAGGACAGGGGCAGAGGAGTCGGCAGCGAAGCGTGTGCGAGCTGCCGGTGTTGCGTGATCGAATTACAGTCTACTACGGAGCACATCCAGCAGAATGTCTAGCAGAGCTGCAGCTCAAGCTCTACAGTAGTGAATTCAAGCGTGCTGGAGACGAAAGTGGACTTATAGGTTTACTCGGGTAGTGGCAGCTTGCTACCGGCATCGAACAGTGCATCACAATGTCCAGTGCTTTTCTTGGGCCAACGACCCTTCAGGTCGGCGAAGATGGCATAGATCTGCTGGAGAAGCTGATGTATTACGACCCGAGGAGGCACGCATGTTGGGATGAAGGCGTTTACGCCACCTGTGATGAGTTGTAAAAGCTTCCTGCGCCAGTAGGGGCCGGCAAGACTTGGTTTGACTGGCCAGCTGTTCTTATGCTCCTCTTCTGCTGGTAACGGCGAGAATGGCTTTCAGAATCAGTCGCAAAAACATGAAGGTCACGTTTCACCCATGTCGTCATCATCATCATCATCATCATCGTCAGAACAACAACAACGAAGTCATCATCACCATCAGCATCATAATCATGAGCAGCACCAGCAGCAGAAGCAGGGGCAGCAAGAGCAAGAGCTGGTGGTGCTTCAGCTACATCTACAGAAGCTATACTCCACCCCGAAAACCGCTGGAACTACAGCTACGCAGCTACGGGACACCAGTGCCGCCGCCGCTGCCGCCACCAGCAGCAGCAGCAGCAGCACTAGCAACACGTAGCAACACGTAGCAACAGCAACAGAGACACCAGGAACGACGACGAGGCAACCAGTCTTTTTTCACAGCAGCAACACCACAACCAGCAGATTCAGCAGCAGGATCGCCACCACCGCCGCCACCACCGTCACCACAACCACCTCCACCGCTACCGCCAGCGCCACCACCACCAACACCGACACTAACAGCAGCAGTAACAGCAACAAAAATTCGGATAATCGGAGCAACGAGAAAAGCAAGCTGAAATAGCTTTCAATGCCACAGTTGGGCTTCCATTCTCAATGAGTGTTGCGTCATGTTCCAGGAAGTTTGGTGTTCAACGCACACACCCACAGCTTCAATACAATTCCCGACGTTTCGATGCGGCGCTGTGGGTTGAGATCTGAGAAGGTCGGATGCGCTGATATCAGCGGTATTGTATGCATGAATATCATGTTCTGCAAAAGGCCTAGCCTAGTGTTTCAGGACATCTCGTGACATTAAGCGAAGGAATTGTTTCGGTTTGCTGCCTTGTACTGCCAGTCCCTGTTGCGTTGAAGAGCTCTTTGCCCATGTCTCACTGCCATTAACACCTCCGTAGGCACTAGTGCAACTCCACCCGCTCAATTCGTTGATTGAGTACTTGTTTGTCCCTATGTCGTTTCTTGAATCGTCCCTCCTTTGGGCATTACTTGGGATGCTCTCGGCCGGCATCCAGCCAGAGAGACGCTTGGGAGGTTGTGGGATCTTGGATGCCTAGTCGACGGATCCGGCTTTGCGCTTAAAAGCGGCAAGCCAATGGTGTTTTAGAGCACCACTTCGGTAAGTTTCGGCAACCTGCATTGAAACATATTCAAACTGAACGTCAGAGAGGACCCGTCCGTTCATTTTGGCCTGTTGGAGGCGTGTGAGCGCCCACAAGGCCTTGCAGCATCCGCCAGCAGCTTAAGTCAGATCTTTCCCCTCGCGGCCTTTGCCATTCACTGGATGTTGATGGTGTAGATCTCAGCGGCCTCCACTTTATTGCTTCGAAGCAGGAACTTACTTGCAAGCCGCTTCTTCCAAGTACACAGAAGGCTGTTTTGCTAACATTTGAATAGTCTAAAGTCCAAACGTTGTTTGCAGTTGCGGCACTGCACCTTGCGAGTCAGGAGCGATGACTCTGTACGTGTCTTCCGGGCCCTGAGAAGATCCTCATGCAGGAAGTGGTTCAATTACGAACTTTTCAATTTGATCAACATCAAGCTTGTTCAGGTCGGTTGCGATCCTTTGAGCACTTGGCTAGCCTTGAACCCATGAGCCAAGCATTTCATCATGTCCGTGACTTTGTCTGTAAATAGCACACAGATGTGAGGAGATAGCAACTGCTCAAGTTAGACGACTTTTAGATGCCAGACATGGTGGCGTTGACGAATGTCGGGTTGCGATTCGGGCAAGTGTCTCAGAATACATCAGCATCTTACAAAAGGCAAGTCTCTACTGCGAGCAGAGAGAAAGACCAGAGCTTTTCGAATAATTCTCTGATCGCATCAATGCAATCCCCCGACATTCAAATTCGATGCTGCTTTGACTCTACTGTGCCTACAGCCACTGAGGTATTTCCGAGATATGGCTGCACGAGAGGAAGCATAGAGTGCGTGGCCGGGCAGCCCAGAGCTTGAAACTGAGCGACACAGATGCTCGTGGCTAGGACGTGCCAAGAGCAAGGACGAGGATCATTTCGAGAACCATGCTGGAAATGACGATAATGTTGCGCCAGCTTCAGGACAGTCCGTGAGTATAAGTCTCCCTAAACCCTAGGTATGTCCTAAATCGGAAGGTTATGGGGGAGGGTCCTGCCTGGCAAGGTACTTTGGTTCCGCGCTTAGTCGGGGGCGGGGGTCTAGACGGCCCCGTCTAATCAGGAGCTATGTCAATCAATAACAGCGTTGACGAGGAGTGCGACGATGACGGTGCTGATGATGACGACGACGATGATAATATGACTGTCATTTTTATTGTTCGGATGATAACGATGTTGGTGGTGAGAGTGATTATGATGATGATGCTCTTGATGACCATCATGATAATGGTGGTGGACTTGTTGTTGATGGATGTTGATGGTGGTGGTGGTGGTGGCTGTTGGTATGGTGGTGGTGACGGTGGGAAGCAGGTGGGGGTGAAGGGCTGCTAGTGTTGCTGGCAACAGGTGGTTGCCCGAATTCGACAATGTGCAGCTCCATCCTGCATCCTTCATCTTTGCGCTCCAAACCCTTCGAGTTCAGCGCGCAGTAATGCTGATTGCAGGCAGTTGAGGAGTTTGGCATGGTATGGCGGTGGGCTTCAATCAGTTGGGGATTGGTGAAGATGTTCCGAACGACTTGTGGTGAGGTGACACGTATGGTCGTCATATTGTGAGATTGTGAGCAGGGATGCTGAATACCATATTTCGTCGGGAAAGTGCTTTCCCGCATTGGCCCGCTGCAGCGCCACTTTCCTGCGAAGGTTCGAAGGTATTTAGACCTTCATTCGTGGCAAGCAGGCCTGTGAAAACTGCGCACGCTTGCCGCTGCGAAGCAGCTGTGCTATTTCAAGCCGGCCGGAAGGCAAAGATGCTTGCCCTTGACATCAGTTTCACTGCATTGCCGAAGTGTCGCCAATCGGCTTCTTCAGAGCGACGGCTCAATGATCTCCACTCTGAGCATGAGGAACAAATGCCGATGAATACTTCTGTGCTTGGGGCTTGAATTGACGCTCATCGCGCATACGTGCAACCTACGGCTTCAAGGCCCTGCTGTACACAGATTCGTTTCTCAGCTTTTTGTGTTTGGTGTTACTGAGATTCAACCACGAAAGCGGTATTTCTGCTTGGCGATGTGCATGCAAAATTCAATGCGAAAGCTTGAACCGAGATCTCAGGCAGACAGCTCTACCAACAACAGATAGACTAACTTTGCATGATCGTGCGAGATCTTATAGGGTACCATGGCCCCGTTTGCGCATGGTCTTGGAGATCTCATGTCTGAACTGCACCACTAATTCGGGGATTTGCACAGGCTGATAGGTCAGCCGGTCATTAGCGATGTAAGGAGCTGCGGCCCGGCAGCTGATGGCTCAATGCCTTTGAGAAAGATGCGCGGGAGACCCCACGACGTAGAGCCAAGGTTCTTGTTTCCGGACCTGTAGTCAAGAATGATGCACCAGAGAGCGAACAGGAATCATATATGGTGGGTATGCATGGGCCTGGAATGCCTTCGGGAAACATGAAGCTACATGATGTTGCATATGTAATTTGAAACGCTTCGCGTCGTCCGCCTCGGCCCGGCTGTAGTGCATTGGTTCGGAAAGCAGCAACCCGAAAGCCTACCAAGGCCCATAGGCCTGAAACCCGAAACTTTAAACCCCAAACCTTGAAGCTTGGACCTTAAACCCGAAACCCCAAACCGGCAGTGTACAGAGAGAAAGTGCAGCCCCTGATGCCAGCCTGACACAGAGGCGTGGGGGTCAAGCAGAGCAGGGTTATTTGGGGGGGGAGGGAATCCGTATAGGAACCTCTGAACGCTTCGGCCGGGGCTGAGGCGAATTATGACAGCTTTGTAGCACGCAGGAAATGGGCACTCTTAGGACTCAGGTGCTCAGGCGGCACGGCTGCAGCTCCTGAGCTTCAATGTCAGCAACAGCGATGCAACTTCGGGGCAAAAGTCCGCATAGTCGGTGCAGTCGTGGCGACGAGATGTGCAGACGAAATAGCCGCCTCAGAATGCTCCAGCGAGGACGCAGACATGTGTGTCGACAGGAGGTTTCCAAGCCGGTGGTGAGTATTTCACTCTGTGTTGGTGTACGGAGACCAGCATGTGTAAGCAAAATCTAGCAGTCATAGAGCCAAAGACACAGAAGTAACGAAGTCGAAGTAACTTCGTTTGTGCGATGCAGTTTATTGCCGGTCTCGACTATTTTGGGTATGGGCTCGAACCTTTCTTGGCCTTTGGGCGGCTGTTGTATTGGCTTGCCCCAAAAGTGAGGAATTAACTGGTGACTTGCCTGCGCTGTTGGATTTTGTCATCTTGCCCGATGTCCGATGCGTTGGACAGCAGTATATACTGCAGAAAAATCTCCCGAGGATCCGTTTGTTTCTTGTTTCGGGTCACAGTACCCGCAACCCTCAAAGTGCATGCAGGGTGCCAAGTCGAGTTTTGCTCCAGAACTCTCTTTCTCTTTACAGGCAAGTTCGCGAATTGCAAAAGCCGCTGGAACGGTCGTCAGCTATCAGGCGAATGTATGAAGAACGCAGCGAGCCTGCGTGCGGCAATCCCTTCAAGGAGATATGTGCGCAGCACATAGGTCGCAGCTTTTCGGGAAGCCAGATCTGGGGACGTGGAATCCTTTCTCGTAGGCCGTGTGTGACGTACAGGAGGCCGGCATGACCTTGTACTTGTATCAATGCTTCTCATTCTTTCAAGTAGTCACCAGGGACTGGGACATGACATGACCCTGGAGCTGCAGAGGACCAAGAGCAGGTGCAAGACCTATGTTGACACATACTGGTACGAATGACTGATTGCGTATGGACCGTGTGGAGACGATAGTGCGGATCAAGTTCATCGCACCTTCACAAGCGCATAGCCCATCATGGCTTGGGCAGCCCTGCCTACTGCTGGCAATCCTTTCTCCGACATGCCGGAGGGCTCTCACCGCCATGACGCACTGTGCTCGCAAAATGTGGGCAACAGCCTGGGATCTCGCAGCTTGGTTAGATTCGGAAGCACGCCATAAGCCTGGCCTAAACGAAACCTTGTGTGCATTCGGACCATGCGCGCTGTTGCAAGGCCCGTGTGTCCGACAGACTCCACTGTATAAGCGCCACGAGAGCGGAAATGCGATGAAGGCACGAGAACTTTTGTGTGTGCGTGTGTATGTGTGTAAGTGTGTAAGTGTGTAAGTGTGAGAGTGTGTGTGTGTGTGACAACTCTGTATCCAAGGGCATTCACCTCACGTTCTGCAGCTTTTGTACGTGCTGTCATCATTGCTTTTCACACTCTGTAGTGCCAGTTGGACAAAGTATATATGGTGCAGCGCTGCTAGGCCCCCCCTCCCCCCCCCAGCCCATGGTATCCCCCCCCTCCCCCCCCTGTGGTTCGCTGTGGTGTGGGTTCCCCCCCTCCCCTCCCCCCTGTGGTTGCGGTCGGCTGTGCCCCCTTCCACCTGCCCTGAGCTCCAAAGCCAATGACAAAGATGAATATTTTGGTTATGATAATGACCAAGATTGTGGTCATGATTCCCACCTCCGGTCCCTTGCTCAAGAGTCCCGAATGAAAACCATTCAAATTCGTGCTCAAGCTTACTTTTAACGTAAAACAATGAGCATGCGGTGCCGAAGTCCAGAGCAACACTTGAGGGGGATTACGCGGATGATGTGTAACTGTTTGCTGGGACGAGAGGCCTGGCCGCGGGGGGGGGGGGGGGGCATACCATGGGGGGGGGGGGGGCCTGCGACGCGGCGACGCGGCACCATATATGCAGGGGCGTCAGGCCCACCATGCCTACCTGACGCAACGAAGCTATGGTATGGTGGGGGAAGCACCGGTTGGCCACCGGTGTGTACCTGCTCAACGAACGTATCTGGCATCTAGCATCCTCGCTGTGCATTGGTTATTCTTCACCTCGCTTATTGTCGATGTATCTGGATGTGGCGCGGGGCTAAGCCAAGAACCCCACCAGTCGTTCTCCTGCAGCCGTTGTACACCTTCGGAAACAGCATGAAACAGCCAGCTCTTTGCAGATAGTCAGGCCGTGTTGGGGTTTAAGCAGGTTGGCAGGTTTTGGCAGGGTTCTTCTTGCTGTGCTTCTTCGACATTCTTGACCATGTGCTGACATGTCAGAAGTTTTTGATGTGTGGTCACTCGAGACCTGGGCATCAAGTGGTTCATCGCATAAAGAAACCTCACTTGACATTCCGTGTGTAGTCCTCCGGGACGGTGGTGTATGCCTCGGTGCTGCACTCAGATCCTCCAAGTCCGGAGGCGCCAAACTCAGTGCCAGCGCGCAGGATAGTCCAATGAACAGATCTTTAGAGCCTAACGGCACTACCGCCTCTTATGGCACCCACAAAATCGCCTTCAGGCCTACCAATCCGCGATTGCAGCCGAAGCAGCTTCAAGCAACCACATCCAAGGATTCAGGCGGGAAGTTTACGTTATGACCGTAACTTTCTAATGGTTTTTCTCTTTTCGGTTATTTCGGTAGGGTAGACTGCACCTGCTGCTTGTGAAGTGGCCATGTTTCCTCGTCCCCGGCCCTCTTGCGCCCCTGGCCTTCGGACATCGGTGACCTCCCGTTCTCGATCACGCTCGAGATCGTCTTCTTCTTCCTTGTCTTCTACATCGTCGACTCCGGCTCAGCCTCTCAGTCGAGCAGCTTTGCCCCGTCGCTCCACCTTGACGGGCCGTGTGGCTGGCCCGTTGCCACCCGTTCCAGCCGGCATTCCTCCTACCGGACAGCCCCTTCTCGCGAGCCTTCCAGATCTTTCCAGATCTTTCTCCCTTACCGGCACAAGCATTTTGGCCTGGTCTGCCTGCAGCCCCGGTTGCCACGGACGCTGCACCTCCGGTTCAGCCCGCGAACACAGCCCCTACTACATCCACGTCTGCACCTGGCGTCCCTTCGATCTCTACATCGTCTTCTGCACCTCAACCTGCGTCATCTTCTTCTGCTGCTCCGTTTGGGGCCGCCTGCACATTGACCACGCTGAGGCAATGCCTTGAGACTTCAGATCAACTCGACGCCTATCTTCAGGCGGACTTTTCTACGAGGATGGCATCGTTCAAGTCGATCCGCTGGGACCGCGTCTACGAGGCCCTTCTGGCGCACCGGGATTACCTTAAAGCCCTTCCACATCGACACCAGTGTCAACGTGAGTTGGTTCTTGCAGGCCGACAGTTTGAGCTCCCCTTCACGCCTACGGACCCGTTTGTCACCGTCATGCACCTGCTGATTCATGCGGGTTTTCACCCACATAGTGTGCATTTCAGGTTCACTCACGTGGACCCGCCACAACACCAGCCAGATCAACCAGGCCGCCCAATGCTCATGGTCACATTGCCGTTCCCCGCAGCTGCGCAGCGTATTGGCGGAGCCCCTGCGATGGCCTACTTCGGGCATAATGCGAACCTGCCGGCTACGCTCAGTATTCTCAGAAAAGGCTGTATTCGTCCCAGTGACTTTGAGCCGCTGGACGCGGCGTGGCTTCCAAGCTCAGCCTTTTACGCCCGTGGATCAGTGCATAGCCTTGGCGACGCACTCCCCAGCGCTGCACGGTTTGGAGGATGGTCGTCCACCAGACCCATTTGTGTGTTTGGGCGCGTTCCTCTCTCCTACCTCGATGTGACGACCACCGCAGTACAGAGAGCTACTTCTACTCCAACCACTTCAGCTGCCGCGGTGCTACCCAACATGCCTGCCACACACCATCTCAAGAGTGAGTCCGGCGGCACTGTTCCAGAGAACGCCGCGAGCTATTATTGCTCGGTTGTCCACGGCATCGACAATAGGTGGGGGGTCCATTCCACCCTGGCCCAGCCGGAAGGCATCGCGGTATTCTTCTGAATGAGACCCGGAGAAACAGTTCGGTTTGTGATTGAGATGCTTTACATGCCTGCAAGTGTTCAGTGTGTTTTCCGCAGCCGTTTTTCAGCGAGCCTTTTACATACACTATGGCCTCCACCGCATTCAGTTCGGAGTACCTTCAACTCTTCTTTGTGTTCTTTGAGTCCCTCTCTGACGGACAACTTTTACAAGTTCGCGAAGTAGAACGTCGAACTCATCAGAATCGGCCGAACATTAGACCTACCGACGTTGCACCACCTCCTTCTGACAGAGCTGCTCCACCCCCGCCGCCTCCACCGTCGGCACCGGCGACTACCACATCGTCACCTCCAGCAGCACCTACTTTGCCTGGGAACCCGATATCAGCGTCTCCAGCTGCAGCGACTCACACTTCTCCAGTTCTTCCCGGACCTCTTCCCGGACCTCCTGGACCTGGATCTCTCCCTGGTGGACACTCTTCTCCACCGGCACCCACGGATGCACCATCCACTCCGGTCTAGGCGGACGCTTCTCATCTGGGGAGACGTACTGGGCGACGGCGCTCTCAGTAGCCGCGTCCGAAGGAACCATGGCAGTGCGTAGACGTAGTTCCAGGTGTGGTCGTAGGATGAGGAAGAGCACGAGAGGTTCGGTCAGTGAGGCAGTGTTTTGCTCAGTTCCGGCCGACAAAGTAAAGAGTCAGGGGCGGACGCCCTTCGCCATTGTCAGCATCTGTGTCTGCGGACCGCGTGGTGCGACGATGATGGTCTCGTTCACGGTCTCGTTGGGCGTTTTCAAGATGTGGGTCAGCTCGATCCGAACGATGTCCGCGTGCACCACGAGAGCGGTCATGGTCCCGATCCGTATGGGTTCTGCGTCGTTGTCGGCTGCGAGATCGCCCAGAAGTAGTGTGTCGGGGCGCCGGTGGTGGTGGTCCAGAGATAAGCTCGGCACTTGATGTCGCATGTTGGGGAGGCGGCTGTGGTCGAGCTTTCACGAGAATATAGACAACGTTCCCACTGGAGTCAACTTTTGGAGCCAGCGCACGCCCTGAACGTTTGCACACTGCCGGAGGTTCCACGTGGTTGTCCTGGCTGGCTGTGCGCACACCAGCGGATAAGGCCGGTGCCGAAGGTGCTGCCATAGGCAGAGAAGGATGAAGAGGCGCTGCAGATGAAGAGGCCGGCGGAGGAGGTGAAGTAGATCGGCGGCGACGTCGAGCACGTTCTCGGTCGCGGTCTCCTGTGCGTGCTTGTTCTCGATCACGACCACGACCCACTTGCTGAACAACATGGTCAGGCTTTGGCCTTCCGCACTGAGCGTGATTATCACCTCCATTATGCCCTCGCCGAGTTCACTTTTCACCCCAGTGTCACTTCTTCTCTGATGTTAACGTGTGCACGCACATATTATGCAGTTCGAGCTCTACTTCGCGATCGTGGCCTGAACCATGCCTTCTACGTGGAACGAGCACCAGACCTGCACCTCCGGCGATCATCCCGGCCATGCCTTCCCACTACACATCCTTTCTGCCCTCCGCAAGTTCGAGGTATGGCACACCACCGTGGAGTACGACATTGGATCCTCATCCCCTCCAGCTACACGGAGCTAGACCTTATACGTTTAAGGCATTTTTGAGCGCGGACTGTGGTGCGGGCCAAACAAGCTGTGTTCTAATCGTGCCGTTCACCTACATGCATATATTACCGCAGCCGTTTTGGGGTCATTGGGTCGGTCTACCGTCCTCACCTGTGCCATCGTCACTATGGGACCGCACCGCTCTCGGACACCACCTCCTCGACGACCGCGTCCCCTCAATCGTGATGAACCCCCGCGCGGAGACCACCTGTCATCACGACGTACATCTTCAGCTCAGCTACCAATGTCGCGATCCTTCCAGGAGCGCTCACTCCGGCATCCGATTTCCCGACCTTCGACTAGTCGAACATGCAGCCGTGCATCACATCATCGGGCTGGACGACATAGGAGCCGGACTCCGGCCCCGCACACGCCTGAGCATCACCGTCGTCACCGGCGAGATACCCCTGGACACCGCAACCCCCGACACCGCGATCCGGACGATGATTCTCTTCCACGTCGTCGCCTGCAGTATTCTTCTCCACGCCACCCTGAACGCCGACCTCGACCTCCTCAAGATTCGGATCGTCGTCTTCAACCTTCGGACAGCCGGCCACATTCCATCCGCACGCATCATGGTGATCATGCACGTGCGCCGCCCTCCTCTTCCGGTGCACCACCTCCTCGACAAGAACCTCGTCACAGCCGCCGGGAACATCCTGCTCC